GGATTTGAACCCAGATCTTTTGATTACAAAAGCAGCATTCAATGTAATAAGCCATGTTGACTTTTGGTTCCACACAGAAAAAGTGACTAGATTCAATCTAATCTCTACTCTCACATGTACAGAGGAAGCCCTAGATCTCATGTTTTTTCAGTGACAAGAGAAGTTTCCTGTAATAGCATCTTCATCAATATCCAATAATATCTCAATGAATACATGATCAGATGTTTATCTAAATTGAGAGGGTATTTCCTACTCCTTTACTGTGACTCAATTTAGCCTTCAGCCTGGGACAATATGACATAACAGAGTCAGAAGACTTGGATGTGAATCATATCTTAGACAGTTTTGTGATTATAGGCAAGTCACTTTACTTTTCAAAGTTTCCTCATCTATAAAATGGGGTTAATGATACTTATGCTATTTTTTCTCACAGGACTGTTGTAAAGAAAGCAACAAATATGTTATCATCGTTGTCGTCGTCGTCATCATCATCCTCATCATCATCATCCAGCTTGGTAAACTTTGCTCAGCCTAGGACACAATGATACCAAGTGGGGACTCCTTTGAGCATAGGTCCCAGTCCTGACACTGAAAAGTGGCCTAAGCATGGCCAGTATCCCTCCCTTTATAACCTGCTTTCTGCAACCACAGAGTAAGGTAAGGGATCTTACTGGCTCAAAGATGCTCAGGAAAGTAGCAAGTGACAGAGGGAAGAGGAGCCAGAGGGCAATGCAGAATCCAAGCACCACCATGTCACCTTTTCAGTTTTGTCCAGAAAGTTTTTACGGAAAGAGGCAAGAATTACAGTGGCCTTATATTCTCTGACCAATGCCTTGTCAAAGAACTGGACAGGGCCTATAAGGGGCTGCCTGAATCCTGATGTTCTCCCTTTTAATGGGGGAGTATTCTTTTTCTCCTTCCTTTTCTGAGAAGGCAGCTGCTCAGGTATTCGGCAAAGAGGATAAGAAACTGAACACCCTGGAACATCTTCAGGACACTGGAACCATGAATTCTTTCCTCCTCAAATATTCTGTCCCAAAGACCAAAATAAAGCCAATAAGTGGACACACGACCAACCTCTTTCCTTGTTTTCCCAACAAAAATCTTTGTCATAAGTCAAGTAAAGATGCATTCTGCAGTATGGTTTGGACGGCTGAGGTGAAATTTCCTGGCTCTTGCCTATCATAACAACTGAGCTAATATTCATTACTCAGCCGGTACCAAAGCACATTAAGGTTACTGGGTATAACTGGCTGGATACATCTAAGTTCTTTCAAAAACTGTCCAAGTTTATGAAAGAATATAGGTCAAAGAATCTGGAATCAAAAACCACTGCTCTGATTAAATACCATCCTTCTTCCTACCAGTCTCCCACTTAAGGATCAGTAGCCACCCAATCCACTTGGTTTTGACTAAGAGAAAATAAACAGTTGCAGCCCTGTATAAAGTCCTGGGCATATCAATATATCAAGGGGAGCAAAATTTGACTCCAGGGAGGACACGGAATCTGTTTGCTAGCTTGACACTATGAAATATACTGACTTTTGACTAAATGTTCCTCCCTTCTAAGAACATTCCATTACCATGCAATCACCAATTTATTTCACTTTGTGTCCAAAGGACAAGGTTATACAAGGCCAATAGGAATACACACATGAGCATGCTAAGTGGAATACATATACAAATATAGCTAAGACTATCAATGTTGCCAAAGATCCCTAAATTGTATTCCATAAGAGATGTGGACTCTAGACTGAAACATGGCATTCACTCATTCAAAAAACATTTAACATTTACCCAGTATCTATTTCATCCAAGTAAGGTATTCTGAAGGAGACAGGATGAATGAGAATCACAGAATATCAGCAATGGAAGGCACCTTGGAAGCCATCTAAACCAAAGAGTATCCAAGAGTATCCAGCCAAAGATCTCCTCTACATCAGACACAACAAGTGGTCACCCAGCCTTTGTCTGAAGACTACCAGGGAAAGGAAATCTACTATCTCCAAAGGCATACCATTCTAATTTTAGATAACTCTTTTAGGAAGACACAGTTCCTGTGTTCAAGGATATCCAATCTAATAGAGAAATAATACATATAGATAATAAACATAACAAAGTAGGATCACAGGATTTAGAGATAGAAACCACTGAAGGCACCTACTCCAGTCTCTTTATTTGACAAAGGCAGAAACCAAGGCCCAGAAAGGTTAAGTGATTTATCCAGGATCACAGCTAGTAAACATCAGACCCAGGATTTAAACTCAGGTCCTTTGAGCAGACTATAAGACAAATGAGTAAATGAGGTATTAGGACCCAGTAACTAGTACTAACAACTAGGTACGTAAGAAAATAGTTTAAAGACAAGAGAGATTACTTCCAGTTAGGAGGGGATCAGAGAAAGTCTCATGGAAGAGGTAGTATCTGAGATGCACCTTGAAGAATAAGGGAAGATTTCAATAGGCAGAGGAGAGAAGGAACTTCAAGCACAAGGAATGGTATGGGTAACAGCACAGAGGTCAAAAAGCAGGCAACATCAATAAAATAGTGAGTAGTCTAGCTTGGTTACATCACACAGTACGTGAAAAGGAGTAGTAGATGAGGAAAGGTAGGTTAGGGTCAGAATGTCAAGGGCCTTGAATGCCAGGCTAAAAAGCTTGTACTTAATTTGTTAGAGAACCATTTGAAAGATCAGCAGGACTGTTATCTTGGGGGCTGGGTGTACAGACATGAAATCAGCAGGAAAAGCCAAATCAATCCCTGAACACTGCAGCACTCTCAAATTGACTGTACCTTACTCTATTTCCTTCTTGTTCGATGGGCCCCAGGGACCAGCAGGATACAGGGCCAAGCTAACAAGAACCAACAGAGCTGAACATTTCTCTTTCTATTAACTTAAAAAAACCCCAGAACCACTTATTTCCAAATACAGAATACAGGTTTGGCTGAAACTTCATTCTGCATTGTTTCACCTGGGAACGGCAAGTTCTTTGATAGATGGGCTGAAAAGATGACATGCACTGCAGATGTCTCTAAAAGTCACTCTGTATCCTTTGCTCCAAAGAGAAGTCGGATATCAGCAATAAAGCTCAGTGGGCTAAACAGGATAAGAAACTCAGGGGCTATTTGTTCTGTTTCTGCCCCTCACTTGTCTAAGATCTTCAATGTCCGCAGTGGGACCACAGGGCCAGTTCTGATACATTGGGGTTCAACGCTGATGAGATAACAGCTGAGAATAATATACTCTTCAACAAAAAGCCACTAGATTTCTCTGGAGTTCTAAAATAATACACAATCCAGTGGTATCTTCTCTTCTCCTGATTACAGCGAGGAACTTCTGGTCAAGCCTCTCTTGGGTTAGTTTTACCCAGAAATCCAGAACTCCTTATTTCAAAGAAGTAAAGTTGAGCCCTCTTCTGAAATTCTAAGAAGCCCCAATCAACATCACTCTTCTCTTTAACACAGTCTAATTTAGATGGTCTCCAAGTATAAGATCAAGCTCAGGGGAAACTTCCCCAAAAACATTGCTCAGAGGCCCTGATGGACTCTCTCCTCACCTCTGCCTCAAAGCTCAGCTCAAATACCAACCACTACCTGAGGCCTTTTGGGATCCTCTCAGTTGCTAGCAACCCTACCCCTCAGTTACTTTGTATATATACTTATATGGGTATGTGTTCTCTCTCCCCATAAACCATAAGCTCCTTGAGGGCAAGGACTGTTTTATTTATGTCTTTGCATCCCTAGCACCTACAACAGTGCCTGTCACATAGTGGGCACTTAATAAATGCTTGTTGAGTATCTGATTGATTCCAGCTGCGGGGACATTCATCTCGGCAATTTTTACTTGGTCCCAGGCCTGGTTTGTGGGCGTGGTGCTGCTCAGTTACCGGACATCTGAAATGGGGTGAGGGCTAATAGTTTGTGCTTCTTTCCAAGGTTTGAAATAAAACCTCAGAATTTAGAAGAGCATAAATCCAGCCATCCTTACAAAGAAGTAAACAGATGAGAATGAATGGCATAAGTTACCAATTAAAAGAGAAAGTGGGATATGTAAGGCTCTAACCATTACTGAATAAAATATTTCTTCATGGAAACAAGGTAGAGACAGATTCGATCAAGTCCAAACAGTTAACTCTTGAAGAGGCTCTAGCATGCAATGATCTCAGCAGCTGAGAGGAAAGGCAAAACAGCTACATCAACGAGACAAGTCCAGCCAGAATGCTCACACAGCAACAGTAAGCAGTCTCAACATAAGGCCACACCAGTGCCCAAACACTGGATAAAGCAAGCTGCTATTTCTAAAAAGCATTCCCACTATTCAGATCTAAGTAGAACCAGTCTTCTCTCTTGAAGTAAGCAACTATAAAAAAGCAGGCATTTATTCGAGCCCCCACAGATGGTGAGCACAAACATGGCAGCCTCATCAGCAAGGGCCAGCATATCAAGATGCCTTCAACATACCTCTCAACTAGCCAGGGATGAAATAGAGGGCTGGACAACCTCTAGGAACCAATTTCCCCAAATGACATAGTTTGGGGAAAGAGGGAAGCAGGGAAGGCTTAAAAGAGCCAGTCAGCTAATGGAAGGTAAGACTTGAAATGCATCTCTGGTGGGAAAATCCTAAGAAAATAGCCAGTGAAAAAGTAGCATGGGTATTTCTTAGGGAGTTCCCAGACTACCTTTGGGCAAGATGGAGATAACAACGGAGAACTATGCATCAGTGATCTTGGTGCCTGAAAATAACTCAATACTATTTATCTACAGATACTTTGATGACAAGGAAGAAAAAAGAAGCACAAAGGAAAATACAAAAACTTCCTTTGTGAGGGGTTTGTTCTGAGGAATCTCTCCTCTTCTATCTTTTTTTTAATGATCTCCTTTTTGGAACAGACCCCCTCCCCCCAGGGCTGAAGCTGATTCCAGCCCTGCTGTCCCACTATCTTGGGGGCCAGGGGCCAGTTGAGAGGTATGCCACAAGCCTCCTTCCCCTACTTTCTTACCTTCGTGCCCTGGGATGTAAGTGCTGATGCTGCCGAGTTATTAGGGCACTTTCCCACACAGGACCACTGTGGCTACTCCTATACCAGCCTGTAGCCGGGTGCCCGGGATAGGATGGGCTAGTGAAGCCGTGGTCTGATTCCGTCTCTGCAGCCAACGAGGAAGCTGAGCTCCCCATGTCACCCCCAACCTGGGCCCAGCCAAGAATTATCCCAGATTAGGTCCAGGCGCGTGTAGTCGGGTGGAAAGGGTGAGGATTGGAGGCATGGACAGGCAGAAAGTTCCCAACACTGGAGAAAGGGAGGTCGATTCTGATTAAAGTAAAAAAAAAAGAGAAAAGAAACAAAAAGAAGAAAAAAAAGAAAAAAGAAACAAAGTATGATTTAAATGAATAAAGTTTTCAGAAGCTTCATGAAGAATTCTCTGAAGGGATCATGCTTGCATACTAAGGTGACTAAATAAGTCAAAGTTTTAAGATTTGGAGTAGTGAAGATAAAGGCATGTGACTGAAACAGTGGGCACAGGGGTCCTGAAGAGTCAATAAGTCATACCCCAGTGCAATAGGCCTCCACACTACTAGTTCCTATGACTAATACCAGCAGTGGTACAGGCAGTAGGACCAATGCAATGAGACTATTATTTCAATTCAACATATATTTACTTAGTACATAATATACACATATATGTATATGTATATGCATGTTCATACATGTATGTGCATATGAGTACATGTGTATGTGTGTATACCTATATGTATACATGCATTTATGTGTGTGTGTATATATATATATATATACACACACACACATATATATACACACATATATTTTCCCCAATTTACCAAGCCCATCAACCCACATCTCCTATAACTAACTTCAAACTAAAACCATTCCAAACCCAAGGGCAGCCAGCTCTCTAGCAAAAGTAGGGTATTAAATGTTGAAAGCAGACAGGTAGCAGGATCCAAAGAAGGTCTTATGGACTGCAAGATCAGCCCAAGGTAAATTGGGTGACTCATGGAGAATGTAAATTCTTCCAACCAAACTCAACCTGGCATTTTACACAATGCTTCCAACTCACTGAAAACACTGCCTTCATCTCCAGGAAAAGTCAAAATTACAAGAACGTTAATTTCTCCATCCCCCTGCTCTACCCTTTCCCATAAAAATATGACCCAATCCTCTCATTCTCTGTTTGGAAGTGAGGTAGCATGGTGTAGTGGGAAGAGCCCAGGGTTTAGAACTTGAAGACCTGGGTTTCAATCCTGGCTCAGATACTTACCAGCTACATGACAGACAACAGACAAACAAGTCACTTAAGCTCACTAAGTTTGAATTTCTGCATCTGTAAAACTGGGGAAATAATACCTATAGTACCTACCTCACAGGGAGGTTTTGAGGGTTTTGATGTATGTGTATATATCTGTGTGTGAGTGAGAGACAGTGTTTATTTTACCAGACCTATGATTTCATCCTTGTAGGGAGAGTGAGTAAACTCATTCTACCAACAGAGACCAGCAACTGGTTTGTAACTCATAGTCTTAGAGTGTTGCCTGTGGCACTGAGAGGTTGTGACTCATTCAGGTCACACAGCCAGCATGGTTCAGAGACAGGATCTGAATCCAGACTTCCCTGACACTGAGGCCAGCTTTCTTTATGCCATGCTGCTTCTCCAAAGAATAGTTGTGAGAACCAAATTAGATAATACAGTCTATGTGTGGTACTGTGGAAAGGGTGCTAGCTTTAGAAACTCTAATTCAGATCCTTGTAAGTCACTTCCCCTTTCTAGGCCTCACTTTTCTCATCTATAAAACTAGAGGACTGAACTCAAAGGTCTTGTCCAGTTGTACATGAATGATCTAGATAAAGTACTTTGCAAACCTTAAATGAACTACATAGTGTCATCTCTTACTGTCATTCTAATACAGCCATGCGTCACATTTCCTGAATAGGTAAATACAAAGAGTTTGAATAAATAAATAAACCAACACTTTTTTTCTGATTGGAGGAAAAGGAATCATATCATTTAGATTTATGACAGAATAAAAGGATCAAGGGAACATATAACTGAGCTAAAAAGGAGAAACAAAGGAAAAAATTAGCACAGCTGAGCTTATCCAACTGCCCACCATAATTCAGAAAGACCTTTATGAAGAAGCTATTTAATGCAATCAAAGAGACAAAGAACCTGGAAAATGCAGTGCTTGAGAGTATCAAGTGAGAACTCTGAAGGGTGTCCCAGCCTATTCTCTTGCATCTGGCATGAGAGGTAGCCATGGCTGACAGATTATTACCAGGGTGACTAACAGCAGCAACTTCCATTCATAGAGTGCTTTATATTTTACAAAGCATTTTCTTGACAACAACCTGTTATCACCACTTTACAAGTGACGAAACTGAGGTCCAGAGAAGTAGGTGACCTACCCACGATTACGAAGCTAATAAATTATCAGATCAAGGAATCAAACCCAGGACTCCTGCCTTCTCCTCCCAGCATACATCCCAATAAATCATGCTGCTTAGTGGCCAACGTATTCAGATAAGGTTCATGGACAATATCCACCTCAACTTCTCAAACAACTAGAAAGCAATTTCTTCTCCCCAGATTCCCCCTCCCTATTTAGTAAATGCTAAAATCCATGTGCTAGAACCAGAAACTGAATAAAGTAAGGAAGGGGATTTATTATTCCTTCAAAATTAACTGACTCAACAGAGCGTCTTACATCCAAATGACATAACTTAAGAATAAAATTTGGAACAGAACATACTTTAGGAGCTATCGATTGTTTCCGTACAATTTTGACAACATTCATGCAGCCCAAATTACCCAAACCTCCAGTAGTCCTGGTGCCTCAAGGCCCAGGAAACATTTAATCATCAAGTCTGGCAACTTCTAACCCACCTGGGACTAATGAGTGGGGAAAGCTTACTTACATGTAAGGAAGGGATAGAAATAAACTCAAAGCCAGATAGATTTAAAGAAAGATAACAGACTTAAGCAGAGGAGGCAGGCTTGCAAATGCCTTTGACTTCTCAGGTAAAGCTGCCCAATTCTGGAAAGTGACAAAGGAGACTACTCCAGCTCACTCTTGATAGCAAACAGAAGGGACTCTTCATTCAAAAGTAAAAGAACTGAAGGTAATTGTGTCCTTTCCTCTTTGAAAACATACACTAACTCACATCACACATACACCTCTGAGGCAAAAATTCTAATCAAAGATGGTACAACATTACAGGCCAGTAAGAAAAGGACCACATCCTTCTCTTCAAGAAAAGCACCATATTAGTCACCTTTCCTACAGTAGAAAGGAGTTGGATTTCTAGCAGCATAGCTGACCAAAGTGAGAAAACCCAGTAGTTCTCATTACTATACAATTTGAGGAGAGTATCATCCTATTTGGTACCTTGAGGTTTCCCTCTTGAAAATGAAGCCAATTCTTAGCCCCTCCCAATACACTGCCCTTATGTTATTCCCTTAATGAGAATCCTTCAGCTGGCATTCAAAGTTCTTTCCAGCCTACCTCTAACCTCTGATAGCCTTATCTATCTATACCTTTTTGAGTATTCTACATTCCAACTGAATTTCTGGCTGTCCCTCTTGCTCTCTGACCATCTCTGTGCCTCGTGGTTAATGACATCCCTTAGGCCTAAAAATGGACCTCCTCCATTTCACATCTCTGCTTCCAGCTCTCAACCCCCCTTGAAATCCCTTCCTTCCTCCAATGACCAACCCAGGTAACTTCCTGCAGAAAGCTTTCTTCATCCCTGCAGTGGGGAGTGATCTCTCCTAATACTTTGTCTGAACTTGTCCTTTGCCCTTACCACATTCTAATTTGTATTGCAGCTATCCAAAGACATGTCCTATTTCCCTTGTAATAGACTGTAAACTCCTTGAGAATGGCTGCCTTGTTTCATCTTTGAGCATATACACTTTAGCAGAATTTAATAAATGTTTGTTGAATTGGACTGAAAATTAGGAATATAAGATTACTGCTATACTTCGAACTCTAGGCACTCTATTTAGTAGTATCACATTGCAGGAATCACACTGCAAAGCTGAGGAATAGGGAAAGAGAAGGGCTCCCCTGTGATAAAGATCTCTTGAATAGATGTGAAAGTCAAGTTGATTCACTGAGGCCACTGCTGGCAAACACACTGCTGGGACCTCCTCTCTGACTCTCATCTTCCTTTGCTCCCTTTCTCTACACCTGCTGTTCACCTGCTCCTTGCCTTTCTTGACCATCAGGTTTTACAAAGTCAGTCCAAGAGGGAAAAAAAAAGTCAGTCACTCCAGCCAAGAAAGAGACTTTGGCCAGGAGGCCTGCTTTAAGGCTGCTTAGGAACAAAATTCTGCTTGTGGTAGTGCTGGGTGTGGAAAGAGAGCTATAAATAGATACAGGATAACCCAAGCTAAGCTGGAGTTACTCTTGGGACAGATTTAGTTTCACACCAGCAATTGTTCTGTGAAACAGAGACTGCTCTCTGGTCAGTAAAACTTATCTCTGGTTAGTCTAGAATCCTGCAACAAGACTGTTCTAGTAAGCTGACAAACTGTATGTTCCCTAATCTCAAGATATCCTTGTTTTTCTTTGTAACCTTCCTATCCCCAGAACAACATGTTAGACATAATAGATGCTTAATAAAAATATTTACTGAATGAATGAGGCCTATTTCAGGAGGAAAATAATTCAAATTTACAAATAAATGAGCCAAATTGTTCCACAAAATGGTGACTGCACAGAATTCACAGTTATTCTCTATGCCTAAGGCTGCTGGACAATAATGGGTTAAAATAAAATCGAACCAGAAAGAATAACTCATCACCTGAATCTGCCTCTCACAAAGCAAAATCGAGGCAGTGTTTGTGCTGAAGCACCTCACATTCACTGGTTTGTAAGATTCCCAAATCAGTAAGCATCTCTTCTCCCACTCACCTCCCTCCCTGTATGAACCAAAGGGTTGCTCCCAACAGAGACAAACAGCACTGCTATGTTTTAACAAGAGAGGATGCAGAAATCTGAGTAGAACTGCTTTCTCAGAGCAGAAATGGAGTGGGAAAGAAAGAGTGAGAGGCAAGGTTCGAGGTGGGCACGTTCCCAGTTTCCATTCCACCTCCTCCAACAAATCACCAGATAAATGGTGAATAGCAAAATGCCCTGACTTGGCAGGATCCCTGGCTGGAGGCAGCAGGAAGAAGGCTCTAGGAGGGCTGGAAAGTGGAAGAGATGAATGGGCGGGGGGGAGGGGGAACAACAGACCAACAGGGAGAGTTCCTTTCTTTTATTATTTCTAAACACAATGATGACTGGTTT